ATTAGACCCTTATATATGCTGGCGTACCGTATTTTACTCACCGAAGAGCCCCAAATTCGGGATAAAAAAACCTTTTGAGTTGACAGTGTGGACAATTAGACGCTGATCAATCGAATTCGAAGCACTATCTTCCATACTTCAATCAGAGGGAGTCGAGGAAATATCAAGTAGAAAAACGTATGTATTATAAATTAAGACACGACTGTATTTCGGCCGGCATATCTGACTACCGAACCTGCATATTTAATAGTTCACGAATTGAGTCTTAGGCTTTGCTCAATAATGTCCATATATTCAGTCAGAGGAAATATCAAGTAGAAATTATAAATATACAATATATTTTATGTTATATCTCTGCCGGCATATCAGGTGACTAGTAGCTTGAATCACACGAGTTTAATTTTAGGCGGTGATCAATCCAATTAGGAGCTTGAAGCAATGTCTGCCAGATACCAGTATTAGCGGAAATATCAAGTAGCAATAGTATGTATTTAGATGATATAATATTTTTGCCTTAATCTGACTACTGAAATTGCATGCTGAAATATTTTAGGGTTTGGTCTGAACTTGGGTATGGATTTCAGAAGACACTTCTTTACTTTTATTCATCTTCTTGAGAGGTGTGTTGGCTTCGATCGATTAAGTAGGTTGCTGGGTGGCTGAGAGCATGTATCAAGGAATGTGTGTGCCAGCGACGTAGTGGTCAGAGATAAGGTGTCGAATTTTGGGCGAGAAATAGGATAGGGAAAATGTGAAGTAGGGTAGGGGCTGTAAAAGCATTCCGGACCTTTCCGCCCAAATTTTCGCGGAAAACTAGTTCAATTCAGCATTCTGTTTTGCATTGAATTCATGTTAATTTTGCAACCCGTCTCGCCCGTCTCACAAAAACTGGATATTGCAAATTAAACAGCTGTTTCGAGCCATAAAGGTCAAATGCAAAATGGAAAAGGAAAGATTTTTCTCGAATTTGCGAATAATTTTCCTTTGGCTTGTGATCAGGTGGAAAACGAGGAGACTCTCAACCTCGTCAGTCGAGTCTCCTGCTCGTCCCTAAGACTTCCAAGGGAAAAGCCCTGGGACGAGGTTGACTAGATCGAATAGAATCGAACACTTTCCCAGCAGATGGTAAATACTGTGGGATCAATGAAAATGTTTTCTTCATTGCTGAAGTAGTTGTGGTTGTGATTAGAGCCTTCAGTCCCCAACATTTTCTGATCTTGCCCTCCGCGAACTTCTCCCCTTCCACGCGCGGATAACATGAAGCACTTCGCTAGTGGTCATGTGATTTTCTCGTTGACTGGGAACGGAAACCACTTATGAAGTCATCGGTTTGAGACCGCCTCACTCGACACAAAAACGTAGGGTGAAAATCTCCTGTTCTGTCTTGCGGATCTGGTTGGTAAGAAGTAGTTATTCTGTTTTGAGTGTTTTGGAAATATGGGCTTAACTGGAAGTACATGTAGGAGGGTTACGCGGAGGACATTTACGAATGAGTACTCATGCATTGTACGCGCGCGGGAAATCTGAACTCGGAATAGTTTCAAATTAAATTCTGCTGCCGATGCAGGAGTTTGTTTAAGTACTAGCTGGGCCAGGATTTGTAAGTGTTCTCTTCTTGATGAATCCGATTTTTCCACAATTTTGTTATAACTTAGTTACGAAGCAAATCGTGTTGATACAAAGCTTCGCGCTTCTTTGGACATGTATGAGCTAATCATCGATATGATGCGACGATGTCTTCGAAATACTGTAGTGTTGATCGTTCTGTAATCATGTGTAATTGATACATCCTGGAATGTAGTTGTACTAATTTTCGATCGAGCTGACGATTTGTAACAGTGATTGTCTTCAAGTAATTTTAATGGGTCGTCTTGTCAACAGCTGAATGCTTGAGTTAATTACAAAAGACAAAATCAAACTTCAACACAAACATGAATGTCCCCCTGCAAGGTTTCAGAAACGTCAGTTATATGTATTTTATAAAATCCTCAAGTTTGCCTTTACTTGATTTCATAATTACATGGTCACACTGGTGGTTATATGTACTAAAGGCAGACTATCACATTTTAAAATATCACATTCGAAGGCTTCATTTTGGCTACATTATTTGTTAATAATTTATTATGCATGATTGAGGGCTTAGTAATATTAATCGCTAAATGTTCAGATAGTCAATCAGCCTCATAAACAATTCTGTAGAATTTTTGTTTTCACTGTTGAAATAGTCATTTTTAGCTCATACAGGGGATACAATACTGATTATACATACTGAACAATCTATTAATATTATCAAACTTTTTTTAAAAAAAGCTAAATAAATTTATATGATGCACTAATAAATTATTCAAGTTATGCTTTGGGCAATGACCACAGATGTGAAATGCCATACCTGATTTGTGGCAGCCAATTTTATTGCTTAAGTCTATAGAGTGGAGGTGGAAGCTCTCTTGAGCAGACACCCTCAGATTGCGAAAAAGGTGTCTGTTACTGGAGCTGGTCACGTACGGGAATGTAAAAGTACAGAGTTTTTATGGGAGTTGAGAAAGATGGGGTTTTGTGAAGGTGGCCGTAAGTAGAGCTGTCCGCTTACGAGAGTCTCCGTTAGGAGAGCTTCCACTGCATTTACAAGGAAAAAATATAAAAATTCATCCTAAAGAAGTTGTGAAGTTCCGTGAGATGGCTTTGCCTTTTCGATGGAGCAGTTTGTTATGGTTTTTCAAAGAGTCAATGGCAAATAATCTCTGTTAGTAGCTGAAGTTCTACATGGTACTACTTGAATGTACATGTATGCTGTATTTACAGTGAAACAGAGCTGCTGTTTATCACGCATTCTCCTCAAAGAGTCCTATTCAACTCTGATTGTAGCAATATTATTCCTGAAAGCTCTGCAATGTTGTTGTTTGTGGGAAGGGGTGGGGGGTGGGTGGGGAGCTCACCGAGGCCTTCAAACCCTGTTCGGGACAAAATCCATACATCTTGCTACCCTATTTGAGACAGGAGTCTAACCTGTTTTCATGAGCCTGTCAAGAGTACAGCCCATGAAGGTTGTTTGTTCTTGTACCTTTTGTCTGCTTTGTTTTTTACTTCACATACCTTTTTTTATAGCCAACAAAATAAATTAGATTTTTTTACAAAAAAATGTTGGTACCACATGACAATCAAAGACCATGCAGCACTAACAAAATGATACCCTGAAAGACACCTTTTTCACGACATAGTTCATGGTCTCGAGACCTTGAAAAACGTACCCTGCTCAGCAGCACATACCTGTTTAGACCAAATAAGGAAGTGCCCCCTCCCCCCCTGGAAGATGTTTGCTATAAAACTTTCATGTAATGATTTTGATTTTACTGCTAGGCCCTATCCTGATTTTTTTTCCTGACTGACATGTGTTACCACTGACTATTTCTGATGGCTCTATTTAAATTCAGAATATTTGATTTGCAAGTTTACAACACTGATAAACAGATAGCCTGTGTTCAGATGCCCTCTCCCCGAAAGAAAAATTTTTAGGATAGGGGGACCAGAAGAAGAAGAATTAGAATTCTGTTTTTTTTTTTTCAAACATGCTATTTATTCAAACCAATTTATTGATTAACTTTTTTCATTCTATTTTTTTCATATATAATTTTTTTATTTTATCCCAAAATTTCCTTTACTATAATATTGTACTATATTTTTCAAACTAAGTGCTGAGTTCTCAAACATAAGGGTTACAGACCAGTGTAATTTAGAGTATTTCAAAACTTTAACTTAATGTTTGTGGTAAGAGTGTGTAATTTGATCAGTTGAAGTTGACTTTAATCATTATTTTATTTTATTTATTTTTTTTAAGTATGGTCTTTGACTTCTTATATTAATCCTGATTTAAGTCAGTTGAATAGCTGAAATTAATTAAATTATAGGTGTGTTTAATTGACTTTCAGTAATCACAAATATAAACACAAAATCTATTAATAACATTTTCTACATGTAGACCTTGAATGTCTTGTTACCATCAAAGTGCTGTACTGTAAACCCTTTAAATATAAAAGTTATGATGTGAGACTGCCATGTTGTAACTCTGTTTACATTTATTATTATCAAGAATGAAATACATGATCCTTCTTACAAGTGCATGTATAAAAATGATACTGGCCTTCCGGCTTTAAGACTAAGAGCAAGGTCATTAATATTTCGAATTGCTCCCTGGGAAAAGGGGTCATATTAAGATGTTTTAAAGGTGTCATGTATCATACCTGTCTGTCAACAGTTGCTGTATACAGTTGTGTTATGATAAAGAAGGGGTTTCACAGTCCACATAAAGTGAATCATTATGGTATGTGCAGCTGTAGTTTGATTCCAAGAAAAAAGGGGTTAAGATAAGAATTTAAAGGAATCCAACATCCAATGTTTCATTTTCCATAATAATGTGAGAATTTAAATAAGGGGGTATGTTTACAATATGTTCTAACTTGAGATTCTGTGAATAGATCAAATTCATGGGGAAGCTAGTACATTATGATGTATTTTACAGAAGTAACTGCATTGTACTCAAATTTGTTTTCTGTGTGTTAGATCAAGATGTGGTTTTTCTTAATTCATGTGACAGTAATAGTAACTACAATATTTTCATGTACTGAAGATTAGCCTCCATCCAATTTAAGACTTTGTCATAGCTGATTCCTTGATTTATTTGTTGTGTTTGAAGTACAGTGTATGCATGAGTTCATATAAAATGATTAATGCATGAATACTGTTATATCAAGTAGATATATCACATACATGTTGTTAACTTAATGACAGTATTGATTAAGAAGTGTCCTTTCTAACAGGATGTATTTTGATAGAGCAGATGAATTATAATATCCTCTAATTGAATTAACTAATCCATTCATGCATTTCATGTTAGAATATTGCATTAATTTAAGTGATTTAATTTCAGCTGTTCAGATTGTTTTCCCAGAGAAACTATAATTAGAAGACATTCTGATTTCCATTTCTTTAAGGATCAGAAAACCATGGCCAGTTATGTAGGCTTTGCAAATCTGCCTAATCAAGTTCACCGCAAGTCAGTGAAGAAGGGATTTGAGTTCACTTTAATGGTTGTTGGTGAGTTCTCTGGGTTATTCCTTTCAACAAATGGCTTTATATTTAATTAGCATAGCTGTAATGATGACATGTATGAATTATTGGAACATGTTAACAGTTATATAATATTACCAGCTTTAAATGTATANGTCTACATATGGTTTAATGCGGAGATGTCTGACTGGAGATGTAAAATTATGATGATAATGATCCCCTTGCAACTCAGTATCTGCATTACTGTCTACATATGGTTTAATGCGGAGATGTCTGACTGGAGATGTAAAATTATGATGATAATGATCCCCTTGCAACTCAGTATCTGCATTACTGTCTACATATGGTTTAATGCGGAGATGTCTGACTGGAGATGTAAAATTATGATGATAATGATCCCCTTGCAACTCAGTATCTGCATTACTGTCTACATATGGTTTAATGCGGAGATGTCTGACTGGAGATGTAAAATTATGATGATAATGATCCCCTTGCAACTCAGTATCTGCATTACTGAGGAGTTATTTGCTAAATATCTGTATTGTTATCCTGACACTCATGGCAATCAAATAACTTGTCAACTCTCACAGTCGAAGATGTACTGCAAGTGATACGTAGATTGGGACATGCATTCATATGATATTTGTTGACAATGTAGTGGTCTATCTACTTCCTTGCCTTGAAATTTTGATCAATATTATTATTTGTCTATTTTTGTTCATTTCCCTTGTTGATTTGGTATTTGTTCTATTTGCTTTGGTAGAATTAATGGACTGTTTTGTTAAAGTTCTCTTTTAAATTACTGACACCTACAACACTAGTGGTTTGTGTAACAGGTTATTTTTGTAAACGAGAAGCTGTAACTGTTTCTTCCTTTTTTATTTCCCCACTACAGGTGAATCAGGACTTGGAAAGTCTACTCTTGTCAACAGTTTGTTTCTGACTGATCTTTATACCGACAGGAAAATACCTCGGGCTGCTGGTGAGATCCTCATGCAGATCTAACATCAAAATCAGTGCTACAGTTAATGTTCATGTACAATTTAACTTCTCAATAATTTTTCACATTTACTAATATTATATAATCAGAAAACATTTCGTCATCTTGTAAACTTTAGTATTGATGTGGCGATGTTTAAAAATTCATCTCCATGAAAATGTAAATCCCAAGATAAGGAAATTAATGCAAAAAATTATGGGCCCACCATGCATGGACTCACACCAGTATCCACCATTTTGTGGAAAATGGTCAGATTTTTCATAATAAATATTTACTATATTTTTAATAGTAGTAAAAAAAAAACTTTCCAGGTTGAAATCTGGGAAATGGTTTGGACAAATGCTTCATCCAAAGAGAATGGAACTGGTCAATATCCTGTCTGAATGACTCAGAAACCTAGGAAATGGGACTTTAGGGAGTTAAAATCCCACAAATTTCTCGAGGGAGCAATGCCACTGGACCCCCCTAGAAGCTTGCACCTCGTTTAGGAAACCAGTCAGTATTTATTCAAATTTTTCCTAGATCTGTGTCTGCACACTAACCTTTTCACCCTATATGAATAACAAATATTAAAAAAATTCACCTCTGTCAACAAATGTCTGAAACAGGGGATGAATCAAATGTAGAGAACTCCATGCCAATTTCTTGATCATTATACAATGAGTTCAGATCTATTAAATTTAATAAAAAATGCAAAAGCTTTTCACCTGAGAGTTTAAAAGGTTTATGGTGTTTTGTAGATGGCGTGAAAAGGACAGTCAAGATTGAAACTTCAACAGTTGAAATAGAAGAACGAGGAGTAAAGCTACGCCTGACTGTTGTTGATACCCCAGGATATGGTGATGGTATGGACAATAAGGACAGGTTAGAATTTTTTCTTTAAATATTAACACTAACTATATTCCTTTTATTATTATTTTCTTCCTATTATCAGAGAAAATGCCTTTCAAAAGAAAAAGATGCTTAGATTAAAACTTAACCTCGGATTAGTGCTAATCAGCCTTCAAACAACCGGGTCCATGAGGTCAAATCCATGGCAACTCTGCTCTGGTCGGTAGACCAATACTCAAGTACCCACTGAACAATTTGGCCAGTGTCACAGTTAATATGAAATTAAACTTTGACTGTCAGTTACTAAATAAGAAGACATCTATTTGCCTTGTAAAATATCATAACTAAATGTCAACATTATTTTTGTTTGTAGTTTTCAACCAATTTTGGATTATGTGAATGAGCAGTTTGAGAGCTACCTCAGAGATGAGTCAGGCCTCAATCGGCGACACATCATTGACACCAGAGTACACTGCTGTTTTTACTTTGTAGCTCCAACTGGACATGGGTAAAGTTTGTTTGGATATATTATTTTCCCACTTTCCCAGAGACTGAGAGGGTTTTACTTTAACAAAAATTTTTCGTGCCAGCATGTTTTCCTTTACCAAATTGTATATCCAAATCAAACTGGAATTTAGAAATGTTGAATTTGGGTTTTTAGGACAAGGGAAAGTGTAAAAATTATGTATAGCCATAAATTTTCTATTTATTTTGGTTGGTAGCACAGTTGGTGCTTGCTTCTAATGTGCTCATGAGAGGTTAGGTACATGTGTATGTTTATTAATCCAAGGGGAGGGTGCGGCATACATTGTATTCATTGAATTTAAGGTGCTTAATTTGCCTAATCTGAAAACAAGGGGGAGCCTTTCCTTTTTTAAAGAAGATACTAGCATGAGAGAAGGCATACATGTACAATTGAAGAGGGGGTGTTGCATTTTTCATTTGGTGTACAAAAGGGAACTTATTTATTGCTTATCAGGGTGGAAAGAAAGTCAGTTTTACAGCTTGCCCAAATGGGCAAGCTTTAGTTAGCCCAAAGGTCATTTAAACAGTCCAGGAAAATTTTTTAATGAGCAGGATTGATTACAGTAACTTCTGTAATTTGAATTCCCCAAATAACTTCACCCTCCTGTGGGGCAAGTTAACCCTTTAAGCCCCAATATCCACATACAAATTCTCCAAGCTGATCTCTATACATTTCCTTTAAGAATTAGTTAGGAGAATTTGATAAAAGATCAAAGTATTTTCTTTTAGGTGATCATTTTATCAATTCTCATAACCTCATCTCTTGAGAAAGTATAGATATCGTTTGAGAAAATTGCTGTTGGTCACTATTGGGACTTAAAGAGTTAAAAACAGAATCCTCTAGCCCAATAGCAGAGTACAATGTACACTGTGCTAGCCCTGGTCTATCAGACACACCTTTCTGTGCATGTTGATTATATGTAACAAAATTATGTATCATTTTAGATCTGCTTTTTTTAATGGAGATTTTGCTTCTAACCTAATACTAGGGGTGATTAAAATAATGAAGGGAAAGTGCTCAATTACAGGCATTTAACTTGATATTGCTCTTGCTGTTTGCAGACTAAAGCCTCTTGATATTGAGTTTATGAAGCAGCTTCATGATAAGGTAAACATTGTTCCTGTGATTGGCAAGGCCGACACCCTCACGCCAGCTGAACTTCAACATATGAAAAGAAGGGTAATAATATATGTACCTTTGTTGTTAGTAATATTAACTTGATGATCTTGTATTTATATTTGTTTTGATTTACAAGTTGCTGTGCTGTTTATTTATGTACATATTTTTAAAAGCCTTCTTTCTTTGTTGTTTAGATCATGGATGAAATTGATGAACAAGGAATCAAGATTTATGAACTCCCTGATTGTGAAAGCGACGAGGATGAAGATTATGTGGAACAAACAAAACAGTTAAAGGTGAAATATTCAGTGTGGTGGTAATAAATATGTTGCATCATGCTCCTTGTATCATGGGTAACACCTAGTATCAGCCTGAAGTGAAAGATTATGTATGATTGCAAAACGTTGAGTGGTAATTTTACTTTGATTAATGCGAGTTTATTTCATGTTTATTGTATTTACATGATATTTTCAGGCGGGTATGCCATTTGCTGTTGTAGGAAGTAACACCCTCATAGAAATATGTGGGAAGAAAGTCAGAGGTCGACTGTATCCCTGGGGAGTGGTAGAAGGTAAGATATTTTAAATGAAGGAAATAAAGTCAACCCTCTCTACAACTGCTACTGTGGGGGATAGGGGTTAGTGGAAGTTGTAAAGAGATGGCTGTTATGGTATGGTTGAAATTAGATGACCACATTTTTTTTTGGAAAGGGAAGAACACTTCTATTTTGTAAAATGCTTATTGTAGCATGTTAAAACGGAAAACTCAACTGGCCAAATGTTCAAAACAATTTAAGCAAGCATATAGGTACACTGAGTAAAAAAAAACTGCTTTTTAAAATGTGGCTAATGTTGGATGCTGTAATGGAAAGAAAACAACATTATCGTTGGGGACGTAAAGATTTTAAAATCGGAACCATAAGAAAGCTGATCGCCTTGTTGTACATATTGTGGTTATGGGTTTGCGGTGTCGCAAATTAGTGCATAACAGTGCAGAAAAGCAAAGACCTGTATTGGGAATGGTATAATGTAAATAGAGTACCGAAGTGATGACGTCATAAAAATGAAATTTGTGAAATTATGGGATTTGTTAAGATATTCTGAAAGAACAACGTCCAAGACGCCTACTCGCCAAAAATTAGCAATTCGGGGCAAATTGTCTCTGAGATATTAGCCCAGTTATGCTGTGACGATTCCATACAAATCCTTCTAAATTTGGCTTGGTTCATAAGATTAGGAACCAGGTAAGATTTAGAAGGATTTGTATGGAGTCATCGGAGCATAACTGGGCTAATATCTCAGAGACAATCTGCCCCAAATTGCTAATTTTTGGCGAGTAGGCGTCTTGGACGTTGTTCTTTCAGAATATCTTAACAAATCCCATAATTTCACAAATTTCATTTTCTATGACGTCACACTTCGGTACTCTATTGTGCTGTGTGAATTTCTACTGTACATTTGACTTAACACAATATTTTCCTATCCTTACTATGTCTTTTCAGTTGAAAACCCAAAGCACTGTGACTTTGTGAAGTTGCGCACTATGCTTATGTAAGTTTCTGTTTGTCAAATCAGTCAGTTATGAAGCACGTTATAAGTACCGTAAATGACCTAATAAACGCCCATTTCCAAATAAACGCCTCTTATCTAATAAACGCCCCCCTCTACGCTTTTAAAATTGTATTAGACGCCCCTGCCTAGTAAACGCCCCCTGTCTAATAGACGCCCCCTCTGAGAATTACTCCAAAATACTAGAAATGAGCAAAAACGTGCAAAATCATTCAATTCCTTCAGTTTTTTTGCTTGATTAACAAGGCTTTACGTATTTCATCTTGCTCAATGTCAAGTTCAAATTAAGTATATACTAACGATGTCAACACGATAACCCTGCTTGGAACATGGCAATTAAATTAATAAAGGATTTTCAGCTCTTATCCATGGTTACTAGGTTTAAGTAAACACATCATTTTTGGATATTGAACTCGTAAGAAAATACCGAATAAGTTTCACGTTTACGGCAAACAGCATACGTCAGATTTAAATTGAGAATTTCTCAGAATAGAAAATAAGCAGTCTCCCCTCGTTTTCCCCGCGTACAATGTAACTCGCTCCCCACCATCTGAACTCCTCGCTCTACTTTCTGAACGCCTGGAACAGGCTATTCGTTGGGTGCCCCTGATGCTTTCCTGAAATGCGAGAAAAGTTACAAACAAAAGTTACTCTGAAGATGACTACCGCACAGGTTGTCGAAACGTCAGTCACTGTCAACAACAACAGTCCTATTCAGGACTACGTTCACCCGAACGATCAAACTCAACCAACTTTTGAAATGACTCCTGGGTTTCAAACCTTTCACCAAAGTTATAATGCCGAAAGAGAAAAAACGCACACATTTCTATATACCGTACTTGCGGCTTCGGTATGATAGTGTCCATACAAAATTGCTTCTTCTTCTTTTTCTGATTCACTGCAGCACTCATATGCAGGATCTGAAGGAAGTGACCCAGGAGGTACATTATGAAAACTTCCGGGCGGCCCAGCTGGCAAATGAAAATTCTGAGGATTTGATTGACGCTTCTGCGGTGAATGGAACGAGGTACGCACCAGAGAAAACACACGAATTCTATGTCAGGTATCCGGTCACCTCGGCACCAAACCACCCTGCCAGCTAATGAAATTGCCTCCAAGAATAGAACTTAGTTTTATTATCTTAAAAAGTCTCATTAGTATACGAAACAAATGAAAAGGACTTTGGTCAAAGTTTCAGACGCCGAACCTATTACTGGTGTATTTCAGAGTTATTTGTTGGTGGTGAGTCAACTTCCTGGTGGCGAGATGACCGTACATGTAAACCCGGCTATGTCATGGAAGATATTATTCATCGTGGTATATTTATGGGTTTCGTTTATCGTTGGTCTTACGAAAGTCGCTTAGATATTGATCGTGGCGTTTCAACAGCGTACTGCAGGTCTTCATTAGGTAATATTAGGGCCATTTTTAAGAGGAAAAATAAGACGCGTCTTACATAAGACGCGAACTTTTCGTATAAACGGCACATTTCGTCTAAAATAAGACGCGGCTTAGCTAAGACGCGTCTTATTAGATAAGACATGCTCGTATAAATGGTACAGTTCGCGTCTTATTTAAGACGCGTCTTATGTAAGACGCGTCTTATTTTTCCTCGTATAAATGGCCCTAATGTCGAATTACTGAGTGGGACTATTAGTACAACCGTGGTTGTTAGTGACTGGTGTATCACGAACCTCGCTTGCATACGAATTCTATCAACACCTGGATTGTGGTTCTTTACTGATGTGTATCTTTCTTTTTCTAAGAACTCGCCCAGTCCAGAAGGTGATGACGGATAAAGATCGCGCATTAATGGAAAAGGAGGAAGAGGTTAGTGTGATGCGTAAATAACAACACCCTGATTGTGTACATGTGCTACCAAATTAAATTAAATTCTCCGCTCCAAAAATCTGGGAGACTGTACCGCCTGGTCTCAAGTGTCTGCCATATCATAAGTTTAAGAAAGAATGGAAGTCCTGTCTTCTAACCAACCAAATCTGACCTTGCTTATATGTTCTATCACTGATATTATTTGAGATTTTATTCCTCTCTTTACTGCTGCCAATTATTTCAACATGACGGTGTCCAACAAGAAAGCTCTTGCTACTTTGGACACCGTACACAAATGAACTTAATGTCTTTTAGTTAATTATTATTTGTCAGCTACTTTATTTTCCTACTACGTACACTTATGTAAATATCCTATACAGTGTGAATAAGGAATTGAATTGAATTGAATTGTAGTAATACATCTGCAGCAATCTTGTTCCCAGAGGCTGTGTTCTTGTTGGTCAGCCTCAAGGAACTTCGTTTAAATAATGAACCAACTGAGGAGTAAGTGCCGCCTTTTGGTTTCTCAGATAAGAACCATAAGTCCTGTCTCACAATCCTTGCTCACACACTGTACAGAAATAAACTAGAGTATGGGACGCCTTAGTCTCCGTTGTCGTGGTCTATCTCTGCTAGCATTTGGTCGCCTCGGCTGGGTTAAGCTTGAAGGGCTTCTGAGCGAATGCCACAACAACATACATACAGCCAAACAGAGGTCAGGCTATTTGCTGGGTGCTGGAATCCTTACTCAGAACGCAGAAATTAGGTGGAAAATGGGAAACTTGCGAGCAGGATGCCTTTAATCGGTCACCCCTTCTGAGGGATTTTTAAAAGCTGGTACTAGCCCACGAAAGAGTGCATTGTGTTTGAAACGGCCTTATTAAGAGCACTGTTATCGAACTAGCCGGGAAAAGTCAAATTAAAATACGTTGAATTAAGTTTTAAAGAAGGATTTTTAATATTTTAAATAAACAGATTATGAAATTTAAAACCGAATTGTTTGTTTTCCTGGAGATCGCTACAAGTACATTGAATTTAGCTATCTTTGGTCGCTAGTCGCATTAATCTCTGTCAACGCGGGCAGCAATTGCGTGAGGGATACAATTGAAAATACCTGGTAGTGGAATCTGAAACTGCAGCTGTGTAAATATTTTGTTTTATCTACAGCTTCGTCGTATGCAAGAAATGATTGCTCAGATGCAAGCACAGATGAAGAGTCAAAGCTAGAAGCTGGGTCGAATGAGGTTTGGGTAAAATTCCACCACACCCCCACCCCACCCCTGTTGTAAGCAAGATTAGCGAAAAAAAGTGAAGTAATTGAATATGGAATATACAGCTGTCTCTTACGAAGCTCTAGTATCAACGTCTGTGATATCTACACTGGCTTCGCTCCCTGTTTTTTAAAGCCTGTAGAAATATAACCATCGGAGACAGAAACAGCAAATTAGGCAGCGTTATTAATGGCCAGCAATTATTTAATACAGTAAAAATTATCGACATTTTTAGGAATTTTATAATAGAGGTAAAGCTTTAAATGCCTTGTAGGAGTGTAATTTTAAGAATTTTTTGACTTTTAATTTTTATGCATTTGTGTGTAAGTTCTTATATTTCAGCTGTCATTGCAATCAATTTTGTACGTTTGCCCGATTTAAGTAAGAGGTTTCTAGTCACATGTAAGGTGATACATTTTTTGACAGTTATTAAGCAATTTTTTTACTGACTAGAATGTAAATTTATTAGTCCATAATCAGCGATTTTAGATTTGAGCGAGAGACGGGATTGGTGTCGTCTCGATTGGGTCGAATTAAGCCCCCTCCCCCCTCCAAAAAAATTTCCCATAGTGCAATTCAACATTACAACTAAACAGTCTCAAACAGAACCTCACTTTATAACAGATTGCTAAGGATAAATACTTGTTACAGAATGATTATATAAATGGGTGAGATCATTTAACATCGTTAGGAATGAGTAGTGAAGGTTTTCGTCTTTAGTGAAGGACTGGTTATTGCCAGCAGTTTAACAAAACAGCAACAACAACAAATAAAAAAACAAAAACTAACTAAGCCCTTGGATTCTTAAGGTTAAGAGTGAAGGAATATACCCATATTATGAACATTTTTTTGGAATTAGCAGATTAATATATCGATGATCAAACGTCAGTGCTTAAATATTGCTCAAAGAACTTCTTTCTCATTTCTTTCTCATTGGTCCTCTCCTGAAAGTGTGGGTTTCCTTCAGAAAATGGGAGAATTTGTTGGCAGGTAAACAGGTGTGTTACCAAACAGTTTTAAGCAATTCGAGTCAAGAGAAAATGGCCTCTTAGAGATTTTTACCATTTTCGTTTTATTAAGGGTAATTTTGACATATACTGAGAGACTTGTTCTTGAGATACCCGAAGTTTTGGCCTCTGAGCAATTGAGAAAGATTGTCTTTGTAAGGTATTGAAAAGATGATGCGAATGTAGCGAGATTCGAGTTTCCAATGAACACCCAGAAAATTTATGAAGTAATTCTTGAAGTAGATTTGTTAAGTTATACTCTTACTTTATCACTCGAAGGGTGAACAAAAAAAAGTGAATCACGTAGATGCATGTAAATAACTGTTCCTTTTTGGACTCAATTTAGGAATATTTAGCTGTCGTGCTAAAACTTTTTGAAGTCGGAAAAGTTGGTGTGGGGGCTAAATGTGTGTAGATTGTTTTGCGATATTACACGCTTCAGTTTTTTTCTAGTTTTAAGGACAAATAAAATGCCAAGGTGATTTTAGTTGACCTAATGTAAATTTAAGGTTTGTTCGTAATATTTTACTTCAAAAATAGATCTAAGTAAGGATAGATCATCAAGCAAAATAAATACGAATTGAAAATGACTGCACTGAGCATCTTTTGTTCCCGAGTTCCTTGATGGAGGCCTTTTCCCTTTATGGCGGTGATATTTGTAAAACCTGGCTGTTGGCATTTGTTTTCATCTGTTTTGTAGTGCTGGGCAGATTCATCTCTGTAACTGTGCGAAGAAGCAACCAAGAAATCCAGTTTCTGTTTGCTGGTCATAGTTTCTAGTTTTCCCGGAACTTTCTCTGTAAAACAAACGACAATCTCATTAAGAGCAGTACAACGTGGATGCGAATCGTCGCTTCTTTTACTGAAGAACTGAGGATTTTTAAGCTTAAAACACCTTCCTCTCAAAGAGGTCGAGTAAAATTCTCTGAGTGAAATTGTTGGACAATCAGCCACTTTCAGGAAAAATTGAAATAATGAATTAATGAAGAAACATACATTAGAGGAAAAGGTGTTGAACACTTCCGAGTTTTATCTGCTATGGAGAAGGGAAATGAAGAAAAATTTCCACTGCGTCTTTGTAGCTGTCACGCCTGTTGGTTCTTAAATACAAACTCTGATTTAAAAAAGACACGTCTTTCATAGTGGTCTTTGTCTGAGTTTTTCAGATGTTCTTTCAACTTCCCAAACTGAAAAAAAAAACCTTATATCCATTTTGAGCAAAATTGAATCTGAAGACAGGGTAGCGCTCGTTTATTTCTATACGATGGTGAATTTTCATCATCACTTTAGTTGAAAAGGAAAATCAGATTTCCAATGCCGCTTTTGCTGATATGGTTTCACAGTTGATCGTTCAATACTAACCTAAAGATGCTTCATTCTGATAAAACTTTACTTGGTGATCAGGGAACCCCATTGTGCCTTCACTTTTTGCGTTATTGAAAAGTGTTGCCTTTGGTCGATGAATCTTCTTTGCGGTTGTTAACGTAAAAACCAGATTACGTGGCAATTTAGTTGGATTTAAGCTTTTCCGGGACATCCTTAACATCGGCGCCAGTGTTCTCCAGTTCTGCATGTTGCGGTCTGTGGTCGAGATTCAAAGATCTTCAGTGGGAATCCTGGTGAAGTCGATGCGATATTAGCACTTCTCGGGTTCCTATAGTGTGTCAGTGTCTTTCGAACGTTTCATTCAACTTATAAAGCCCTCGAATTTTAATTTAGTGAATGAATGAATGAACCGTAACTTTGACCTTGCTTCGTAATACTGAACGTTCATAAGTAATAACAACGGATGTACAAAGTTAAAGAGGTTTCAGCGTCCTAGGTGTGTCCTTCAGTATTCAAACTTCCACTTTAAAAGTTCCGCCAATGTCATTGTTTTGTTCGCAGACAAGGCTGTCTAAGGTTACCACAAATATCAAAGTACATGACTTTTGTTTGACCAGGAGGAAAGTTACTTGTTGTATCCTCAGCACTCAACGACAATTTTATAGATTACCGTATCAAGTCATTTCAATTTTTTACTTAATTAGTTCTTTCCTAGGTTAAATTTAGCCCCATATTTCATGTATATGATTCACGTCTGTATATCCAACTTTATACCGTTGACCGGCTTTGTATAAGTAAACCAGGAAATATGCTTATAAATGATGAAAAATTCCTTCTAATATTTCACGAGATGAGGAGCAAACCGACCCCGATTTTGTCGTGAAACTCACTTTCTCGTTTTATTCTTTTTATGAAATTTATTACCGCTTCATGTCCTTAGCATTCTTATCGACCTTTTGATCCAGTGGGCGTATTCAAATTGGCATTCAATTTTGCTCTTGTTTTCTTACATTCCTACACGCTCGTCCGATTCTAACGCGGTGAGGCGTATAGTTGAAATAAAATTTCAAAGATTGAATAGGTATTAATTAAGATAATGGGCTTTAATTTAGGTTTGCTCAAAAACCTCCTTTTTTCTTATCAGTCCTACCTTAACCCTTGGACGTACAAGTGGGTGGGGGGGGGGGGGGTGTGAGTTTCCTCCTAATGGTAAA